ATAGAATCCACAAATCTCAAGCTTAAGGGAGAGAGTCATCTGGGGACTAATATTGTAAAAGCTCTGTCACCTTTAGCTCTCAGTATTGTATGACGCACAGCCAGCAGGCCCTGACCATATCAGCTCAGGGACATGCTGGGGATGTATTGATGAAAATGTTCACCGAGGTACGTTGGAGCTCGTTCATGCAGAGCTTCAAAAGTCAAGCTCTGGGTAGTTACCCAACAATGAGACTGTGGAGACTAGTAGCAGACGGGGCCGGCTATACGGTGGGGCAAAAGGGGGCAATGCCCTCTTAAACAAACGTCCTGCCCCCTTAAGTCAACTTTCTCAAGCTTTCTTTCTCAACTTTTAGAAGTTGAGAAAGAAAATAATAGATTAATAATAGAATACCCACAAACTGAATATGGACAAGATTTACTACAGTAGCTGAAAAATCCGCTTGAAAAGGCACAAATGAGATGATAGGTTTCACGTGCTGTTCGTTCTTTACCTCCATGCACTCTTTGTAGGCAGGCAACCACAACACCCCCCCCAAACTAAACATCCTGCTAAACGCATCTTGCCTCCACCTTCAAGTTGAACTGAAGTTTATAAAGAACCCATGTCAAAGTATTGTGGTTAAGTTAAATCCAATTTATTAACCTACCTCTGAGATGAAGTGCAGCTGCGAAGAACGTACTTTCTCCCGTTTGACTACGGCAGGCAATGAGGTGCGTTTATTGTCTGTCTGTCAATTTGGGTTTCCATGAAACCGCGATAAACAGGTATTTATGTTGTTGTTTTTTTATTACTATGCCAACCCTTTTTAGTTTTGTAAGTACTGGCTATATTGAGAGGTCTTATTTTATTCTTACTTCATTTTGCAAATTTATTTGAACTAGGCCATCCAATTAAGATAGATTTTATGTTGTTGGTTGTAAAGATCTGGATAGAAATTTTATTTTAGTCTTCTATTTCTTTTCTTTTTCTTTTTCAAAACATTGTGAATTCTCTCTCTCTCTTTTTATAACCTACCCTTTTTAGTTTTGTTAATATTGGCAAAAGTGTGAAGTGTTATTGTTGGTTTTGAATATATTTGATATAGGCTATCCAATTGAGGTAAATGTCTTTTTTTAGTTGTTAGAATCTGATGAGCAATATTTTATTTTATTTTTTGGTTTTTTTTGCTTTCTGTTTTTTTTCTGTCTTCTGATTCAGTCCATTATTACACTCTTAAATCCTACTGCTTATTCCTGCGTCTTTCAGGATCTTATAAAGCTTTAAACGACGCACCGACTATTAAATTAGTTGTTGACAATTTTGATAGTCAACGTATTCATTATTAGTCGAATATCGTGACAGTCCTACTCTGGATAACTGTTTTTGTCATGTAATTGGATTGCACTTTGTCAGGCCTCTACCCTAACACCTGACCAACTTGGGTGTCCCACCTGAAGGCTAAGCTACTGATGGTCTAGCTTTTATGGTCACTAAGGCATGCAAACCCCCTGACCACGTTAAGGTGGCAAACCGTCAGGGGGAAAACAGAAACATTGCCACCATGTGCCCCCTTTACATTTCTGTCTACCCTCTCATATATGCCTGTCTAGAACTGGCCTAGGTGGCAGATATGATCTTATTGGGAAGATGCAATTATTGGAAAGGGTGGCCAGGCTTCTCCGTTACGACAGGATGAAGAGATTGATCATTTGTGAGGGCACTGAAGCAAAGCCACTACTCCATCTTAAAAAGGATCCAGTTGAGGTGCTTCAGGCATCTGTAAGGATGATTCCTACCCTCTAGGTGGTCTGTTCTGTGCATGCCCTGTGTATCCTGGGGCACACACTGGAGAGTTTATGACTTTGGCTGGCTTGGGAATAACTCAGCTGGACTTCTCTGCTTAGACTGCTTCTCCATTAATGCAGCCCTGGATAAGCAGCAGAAAGTGGATGGATGGATGGAAAACATTCAATTCATGACAATGTCAGACAGTGCAATGCTCAAAGAAATGGCAAAAAACAAAATAAAATCAGTAAAACACTACATCTCAGACTCTACAGGCCTCAGCTGGCTTATGAAAGTTCACGACAGCACAGTTATAAAAAGACTGAACAAATATGGCTTCTTTGGAAGAATTGTTTCCAGAAAGTCTCTCCCCTCTAAAAAGAACACAGCAGCACAGCTCAGGTTTGCAAAATTACATCTGAACAATCATCTCTAGGAAAAATAACCTGTGGACAGGTTAGATCGATGTGGAGATGTTTGGCCATAATGGTAAGCACCACATATGAACGAGAAGCAAAACATGTATATCGACACAAACACCTGATAACAACTGTCAAGCACGGTGGTTTTAGGACTGATGATTTATGCTCTTTTTGCAGCCACAGGACTTGGTAAACTCCTCTGTACATTCTACAGTCAAATGTGGGGTCACCTCTCCGACAGCTTTGCTGAAATTGGCTCATGCCAAGACAATTGTTCAAAGCACAGCAGCAAATCCACAACAAAATAACTGGAAAAAAAAGAATCAAGATGTTGCAAATTTCAAATCTGGACCTCAATCCAATGAAAATGCTGTTAAACCTTAAGAAAGCTGTCCTTAAACAAATGCATGCAAACCTTGTAAAGAACAGAAGAAGTGAGTCTTCGATATCTGAAAAATGTCTGGCACTCACATAATCACTGTGATTAGTGAATATGAATTACTGTCACTTTTATTCCCAATTCTCTCATCATTTACAGTTAAATGAAAATAAAGAGTAATCACTGATTTTTTTCTTCCAGAAAGAAATCAACGCACAGTAACCTGCATTCCTACTAAAATTTAGGAATGTAGTGGAGACTGCAAGCCAGTTAGAGCCCTAAAAAAGCTTTTTATTTACTTACTTTACTTTAAGCTTATTATGCTCCAACTATGAATTAACCTTGCCTGCTATCTTTTGAACTCTTAATCTCACTATACATTTTTGGATTACAGTGTATGGCATACGAAATTATATCACTTTATTTAATAAAGAACGTCCTAGAAATGCCTTTTCCCTTAGGTTTCTAAAGTATTGCAGCATGATTTGACAGAAAGGGTGCACACGATCCAGTTTTCAGAGATGCGACTCATTAAAACATTGGTTCTCCAAACTGTGGAGCAGCCACCTAATCCAGTAGGGAACAGAAACCCACCATAGGGATTTGGTCAGCCAGAGGAAAAATACATTGTGGAAAAAACTCAGTTGCCAAACCAAAACGACAATAAAAACATAAATTCCTATAAAATGATTGCCATTTGTTAGTACTAGTTGTGAGTTATACAGAGATATTACATTTTACTTCAACTTTCTAAATATTAAAATTTAATTATTATTGTCATATTCATTATGAAGCATTTCTCCATTCCTTCATTGTAAATAAGGGCTATTAACAATAATTTACAAAGCGCTAGTTTTGAATGGAAACCTTTAATGCAGTAGAAGACCAAGCTGTGAATTAAATCTGCAAATTGGATAAAAAACATAAGACAACCATTCTCTAAATCATGTCAGAAAATAGTGGCATATATTATAATAAACCTGCACGACTGGTACAAGCTGCATGCATGCATATGTGGCGACTATCCATGAACATTTTTTTTTTATATTGAAATAACATACTGCACATTTCAAAAAAACATAAATGCATTCCTGTCTGTATGGAAATATCATACAAAAAAAGAAGCTAGGGACTGAAGCCAGACTGGAAATAGTAAAAAGAAAAAGGTCTGATAACCAGACATATGTTAGCTACCATGTCAGTATCATCAGTTACATCTTAGAAGCTGAAAACCTGCAAACCTATGAATCCATATTATTCTTGACCTTAAACCTCAGAGAGGCAAAAGTGCAGACAAAAAAGAAGAACAAAAAAAAAGCATACCAAATGAATTAAAATATTCAGGCATAAGAAATTTGAATTGGCTTACAATAAGATTTTCAGTAGCATATTTTACATAACCACAAAGTAATTCAATGCACTGGCACACATATAAGTAAAAAGCAAGACTTAAAAAAAACTTTTTTTGGTAGAAAGAAAAATCTGGCGCAATTTAAATCTCCTCCTTTAACCTTAAAAGCACATCAATATCACTATTAGTATTGTTACTGTGCTACTGTATATATTCATAATAGTATTTTGACATTACGATATTAAAAAGTAAATCATTACAAACATACCTCAGAGAGTGTAAACAAATCCTGACATCATGCAAACTGGAGACATTTTGATCCGCCACATGACGACAGTCATTCAGCACGTTACAGCTGAACACATCCTGAGGTGGAAGATCATTTTGGTCCACTACAGATCTTGAAACTTATACATTCAACTGAGTCACAACTAGATCAAAGAATTAAAGAAGACATCCAAGTAGTCCGAACGCTGTTTGTGGGTTAGACACCTGATGAACGCGTCCACTGGGAAAATGTCTGACTTCCTTGAGACATAAAAAGCTTCTGTCCTCTTGGGATAGGAGGTGTTTGATCCTCAGTACACGAAAAAGGTCACTGAGAAAGAGAAAAACCTGATGGCTGATTTGCAGCATTTGACCACTTTCCCCGTTTAGCATCAGGATACAAAATGCGCTCTCATGTCTTTTGTGATTGGCAGTAAATTGTTTGATTTTCGCATAAATACCTTCTTGCTTCTTCCTACAATCTGGATCCAGCGGGGTCTCACAATATTACATGTTAGGGCAGTTTGTCAGTAGAAAAAGTGCATAAGGTCAACAACAAGCTAAAGATAAAAAAACACATTTACTCTCTATGTTAATGATAAAAGATAATGAAAAATATCCAACTAAAACACAATCATATTTGATGTTGGGGTTTTGTAGTAATTTTTAATTTTTCTAAACACCTGGAGTCTCTAGACCAATAGCCATTTAAAAAAAATGTTGTTTGATTTTCATTTCTTCAGCTTATCAAAGTTGTCTTTGGAGTTTAAAACTGAGTTTGAAACATGTCAGAAAAGCAGTAAAAAGTCTTTAAAATGCCCTTATGTTTATTTCGGTCCAATTTTTTAAATCCTTCTATTGGTATTCCTCTCTATGTCCTTCAGTACTCAATGTGGGTGTGCCCAGTCGCAATCTGAAAATAAGCATCTGTTCATTAAAAAAAAGCCTTAAACATTCATAATATCCACACGAAGAAAGGCATCAAAGAGATTGGTCCAGTGGGAAGTTTTGTCTCTTGGAGTTTAAAATGCTCCCTGGATAGAAGATTAAAAAAGGAAAATAAGTTGTGGGAGAGGGGTGCAGGTTTAAAGAGAGGAGGAGCTCTGGCTGTAATGTCTCAGCAGCAGCTGGTCATATTCAGCCTCAGAGGCAGGGGACAGGGAAGGGGGAGAGCTGCCATTGGAGCTCAGAGATGAGTCTCTAAATGGAGAGGGAGGCGTCAGAGCCATGAGCTCCTCCATATCCTTGGCCCGTCTGCTACTCACGCAAGTCCCGGCCAGGTGCTCATAAATCTTACCCGCTGGTCGATTCTCGCAGAAACTGGAGACGGCTGTTACCTCCGCATATGTGGTGACGGTGGAGGGTGTCTGTCTGTTCCTGGGCGCGAGGTACTGAGGTGGACACGCCGTGGTATCTGCAGTAGCAGCAGGCAGAGCAGTGGTGGAGGGTGGGCTGACGGTGGCTCCCCCTGGCAGCATCATGGTATTCAGCTCACTGATGTTGGCAGTGAAACGGTTAACCACACTACTGATCTGGTCCATGATTGTGGTACCCTGAGTTTGGCCGCCAATCATCCCTATGCCAATGTCACCCACTCCTATGATGCTAATGTCTCCATCATTCAATGCACCAACACTTTGGCTGTTGTCCCCGCCCCTTCTTCTCACCCCAGCGGGGTGCTCGGGTAAATAGGTGGGTAAAACTTGTGCATCCTCGGCATCCTCTCCTCCCTGATGACACGCCGCCTTCGCTGCATGCTGACTGATGGTGGGCAAAGGTGACTGAGAGGGTGTGCAGGTGAAAGACTGAGAAAGCTGTGGCTCATCGTACTGCTCCTTGACACTGTTGTCTGCTGGTGTATCCCCATCTTTAGAGAATGGCTTGATGATGGCTGTCTGATTTGCCTCGACTGGATCCTTTTTCTTCACGTGAAATGACATCCTCTTCCACAGGTTTGGTCTGTATCCACGCTCATTCTGTGTCCATGTAACTGATTTCCCATTGGAACTGAAAATCACATGAATGGCAGTAAGTAATCTCATACTTATAGTGTAATACTGCAAGTTGTCAGTAAATATGTAAGTATTTGGTGTAAATATCTGTAATTTATTTCAACATCACACCAGGGTTTTTCTTTAAACTATTATAATCCATGATGAGGCTCATGTTCCAATTCCTCTCACGAGTATTTCTACTCTCCTATGTTCTATCTTTTGCCTGCTGTGTAATATTAAGTCTCTTTGCATGTTCTTTTATCCTTCCTCGAAAGAGAAATCCTTAAAGGCAGTGGGGATCCTTTGGGAGTGCGTAACCCAAATGAGGTTACATACTCCCAGCTCTGGGAGAAGTTTTTCTTGGCTTCATATTCAGCCTGTTGCAACAACTTCTGCTCTACATGTGTACAGCTCTTAGCTGTACTATATCTAAGCAGAGCTTCCATATCGTTTGATGGACTCGTGAACAGAAACAACTAATCGGCGATCGTGGCTCAAGAGTTGGCAGTTCGTCTTGTAATTGGAAGGTTGCCGGTTCGAGCCCTGGCTCTGATAGTCTCGGTCGTTGTGTCATTGGGCAAGACACTTCACCCGTTGCCTACTGGTGGTGGTCAGAGGGCCTGGTGGTGCCAGAGTCCGGCAGCCTCGCCTCTATCAGTGCGCCCCAGGGCAGCTGTGGCTACAATGTAGCTTGCCATCACCAGTGTGTGAATGTGTGTGTGAATGGGTGAATGACTGAATGTAGTGTAAAGGGTTTTGGGTTCATAGGAACTAAGTAAAGCGCTATACAAATACAGGCCATTTACTATGGCACTGCTAATGTGGCGTGCAACTCCTATCAAACTTTATTTATTTATCGAAAATATCATCGGAAACTGTGCCAATATGGTCTCACATTGCTTGTTATTATAAATTAGAAAGCACTAAATATAACTTTCATTTTAAAAACATAAATTGATTCAAAGTTTTTATCTCACAATGCGTCATTATACAGTTGCTAATGGAAAAAATAAGCTACTACTTAAGGAGTTCACTCTAGTTTAAATGCTATGGAGAGTAGGAAACACTTTAAAAATTCAAAACAGAGGTAGTCCTACAGTACATGACCTCATTTCATCTCATAGCCATACCACCCTGAGCATGCTCAGTCAGTACTTGGATGGGATATCACCTGAAAATACCAGATGCTGTAGACTTGGGGCATGTGGCTCAGGTGGTAGAGTGAGTTGTCTACAAGTTAGAAGGTTAAGCAAAGTTTATCATATTACAGTCATCAGAGTGTGTGTGTGTGTGAATGTTAGACACAGCCCTTGAACATAGACAAAATGTTAAATCTATTGATTGATAGGCTCACAGCTATGTTAATAAAATCTTTGTTTGTTTGTTTTTATCTCTCTATATATATATACGTTAACGCCAGCTTGTACCTTATGTTGTCCTGCGTAGAGCCACGGCGTCGAAACAAGTTGGCCATGCTGCTAGAAGATTTGCCAGATTTGGCAGCTTTCTTAGCATCGCCCACATGCATGCGCACAACTGTGGATGTGGTGAAAGCGCTGCGGACATTTTTCTCGGGCTTGGCGAGCATGATGTAGACCTGATAATGGAAATGAGCAAGAAGGAAGTGTAAAAAAATGTGTGAAAAGGGATAATGCCAAACCAAACAGAAAATCTTTAGATTTTTAGGGTTTTTATTTTCTTTCTTACCTTGGGGACAAACATGCAGCAGAGAGCCACTGTGGCACTGAGGCTGACACTAAAGCACATGGTTATGATCTTGTAGTTGGAGCCAAAGTAAATTGGAACAAAGGCCAGCCAGATGATACAGGTGGTGTACATGGTGAAGGCAATGTACTTGGCCTCATTAAAATTAGCTGGTACATTACGAGTCTGTGTGGGAAAAGGGAGTATGTACATTTTAAAGCAGGGCGTGGTAAAGTAAAATGAACAGTACATAGGAAAGAAAAGTGAGTAACAAAAACATATAAAAGTAACCGAAAATCTTAGTAAGCCTTGTATTATTGACTATTGCTATGCTGAAGTACCTTGAAGGCGTAGAAGGTGCAGCTGAGGATAAGCAGGCCATTGTAGCCCAGCGGTGCTACCACCCCCAGAGTGGTCAGATTGCAGATCAAGTGCACCTCACGGATACTGGGGTAATCATAGATCACCTAAAGGAAGGAAGAAGCTTCTCTAGTTGTATAAATAAATGTATATGACCATTCCCCACATTACAAAGGAAACCCGCACATACCTGTGGTGGCTCTATGATGAGAAGTGCCACAATAATCCCCAGCTGCAGGAGTATGAGTAGGAAGGCGATGACCAATTGTGCGCAGGCGGACATAAAACGCGGTTTCTTGGTACAGATCTTCTTTTTGCTGCCTGCCAGGATCCGTGCTATGCGGTTGGTCTGGATCAAAAATAGATCAAATGGTTATGCAGGCTTCAATTCCATCGACTGTGGAGAATACATCTTGCACTGATTCATGACAATAATCCCTTTCCCAGTTCTTCAGCAGCAACCTCAGCCCACACTCAGACCCTCAACTTCTACCATGCTTCTCTTACAATTGGCTATCATTCAGTCTCTGGAGGTGGCTCTCCCAACATTACTCTAGAGTTGCCATTCTATTTATGCTTGAAAACATAAGACTACAACAGTAGATAAGCAGTTTGATAAAAAGTGGTTTATAAAGAGAAATTTTGAATGAAATTAGAAAGCCCTTGATCTGTCAAAATGATAAAGTCCTTTAAAGTCAGTCATTTGGGACTTATAGAAAAAACATCTTCTTTGAGTAATTTAGTCTTCCATCCCATGAAGCTCTCTACGAACTGCTCTTGAGCTAAGGCTACATGAAGCTTGGAGGTTTGTAGCGACTGACTCTGCAGAAAGTTAGTAAACTTTGCTCACTGTGCTCCTCAGTGTCCACTAACCCCAATTGTACATGGCCTTACACGTCATAGCTGGGTTGCTGTCATTCTCAATTGCTACCACTTTCATATAATACCGCTTACAGTTAACTGTGGAATATTTAGTAGTGAGGAATTTTCGCAACTAGTCTTGTTGCACAGGTGGCATCTTGTCACAGTACAACGCTGGAATTCACTGAGAGCGACCCGTTCTTTCACAGAAGCAGTCTGCATGCCTAGCTGCTTGATTTTATGCACTTGTGATGATGTAAGTGACTGGAACACCTGAATTCAATGATTTGTACAGGGAAGTGAATACGTTTGGCAATATAGTGTTGTACTTTTTGCAGGCTTGTTTTGATAGCTTCTTAACCGTGCAGCTCAATTCCAACATGTTATTTAACACTGAAAGTCCCAATGAGAAAAAAATGTGACAGTAACTAGTAGTTACTGTCACAGTAACTACACTCTTTAGTATACTGTATATTCCACAGGTACAGTTAGGGATGGGAATCGAAAACCGGTTCTTGTTGACAACCGGTTCCCACTGTTTCAATTAATTTGAATTGTTTGTCATTTTTGCAAACAATGCCCCACTTTGCAGAGCGTCATTTACCTGGCAGGAAACCTGGTGCCTGGGCACAAACGTTTGGTTATACTTTACGAGAACGGATGACAACCGGGCAACTTGCAATACTTGCAAAGTAGATATTTCATTTAAGGGAGGAAACACTACGAATATGCAAAAGCATTTGCTCACAAAACACGCGATAACCTTAAATGAATGTCATGTTTTTAATTCCGCTGCCTAGGACTAGTGAATCTCAACTCAGCAGCAGCGGTCCTGTTAATACGGCAAGTAAATAATAATCAACTAACAGTGCATATTATGTTAGCGCGATCTGCCTTATTACAAAACCTGCTATTACTCTGCATTGCATTTAGGTGACCATGATGAGAGAGGCAGAGTCTGGCTGGCTCAGATGCTGCCAGTTCTCGCTGCAGTCTACCGGTAGCGTCTCCTTTTAGGCCAGGATAGACGAATGTCACCGAGCAGTGACTAAGTTTGTGGTCAAAGGCTTGCATCTATTTGCCACAGCAGATGGCCCAGATTTTCGGTAAGTGAATGTCTTTAATTGTAGGCAGTGACATTACTGGATATTTTTGTGTAATTGCTACAGAATAATTTATGTTATACTTTGTTATTGCTACAGAAGAATATTTATTTTATTATTTTACATTTACAATTTTTTTTTCTGGGGACTCCGTGACACCCCATCAAAGAGCCATAGGCTGTGGATCTCTTAACATGTCACTGTTGGGTTACTCCTAAATTTCTTGTTCAAAGAGAAGACATAAAACAAAGTTCTAAGCTAATTGACCTGTGTCTTCTCCTTTTTTAAAAACAAGAATCGATAGGAGAATCGATAAAGAATCGAATTGTTAAACAGAATCTAAAATGGAATTGGAATCGTGAAAATCTTATCAATTCCCATCCCTAGGTATAGTAGTGATATAGGGAAAATGTGATCAGAAATTTAAATTAAATACTGTAGAATACCTATTTTAAAAAGAACAAAAGAACAAGCTGGTTTCAAATGCAGCTGATACACAATGAGCACCTGTTTTAACCCACTTAGTTTCATAGGAAGTGAAAGAAGACGCTAACGTGCATATACTTTATGTGCTTGTTCCCCTACCTTCTGATAACTAAACAGAAAAAGTACCTTGGTGACGAGAGCAGAGTAGCTCATGGCAGGGGACAGTCCGATTCCCAGCCGCTGGAGGTAGCAATAGACAATGTGTGGCTTTGCGATAAGACTGAAAGTACACAGGTAGCCCAGACATATTCCTGCCAGAATAATGTAGCAGAGCTCCCGACTGGATGACTTGACCACAGGAGTGTCCCAAAACCTACAGATAAATGAAACAGCTAGATTCACACAGCTGATAAAAGATACACAGAGCACCGCAGTGACTGTTTTACTTTGTCTAATTAAATGTTAGTCATACAAAAGCATGAGACATTCAATACCGCAAAGGATGTATTGTATATATCACTAACAACCAGTTGCAAACAGGGACATCAGACTTTAAAAACATCTACAGAGTCACAGTAAAACACCAACAGTAGGTCAAAATAAACTGATGTTAGCCCTTGCTAGTCCTGAATATGTATGTAAACATCCTGTGCATTCATAGTTAAATGTATAGATATTGGCTCCAATTACTTGATGAAAACAGATGTAACAAAAAGTGTAGCCATGAGGCCCAGGCAGGAAAAGACTACAGCAGCAATGGGCTCTGGATCCCCCCAGCGGACATACTGCACTGGAATTGGCTCACAACCTGAGGGGTGCAGAGAGATCATGATTAGCGAGAGAAAAAACATGAAAAGTTTCATACAAAAATGTGATGCATTTGTTAGCGAAATATTAAAACTAGTGTATTTGTGTATTTTCATGAAACAGGCAACAGACTGTAGCTTACTCCAGCAACAGATTTTCACTCATGTTGCAACACTGTGGGCATCAACAATGTAACTGTTGTGTGTAAAATTTAAGAAAAAATATTTTTTTCAAACTAGAGAGGAAATAAAATATGATAGGACAGTTTACAAAGAAATCTGGATCCAGGTCTCTTTATATGTGAATACTATATTTGTTGATCTCTGTGCAGTAGTGTGTCTTTGTACAGAATGCTAGGGCTGTTAACGGATGTGGTCCACCGTCACTGCGGTGGACCCAGATTTCGTGGCTCCTCTGACCACTGCGGAAACCGTTTATGTGTAAGTGAAAGTGCCACAGATGAAGTAGTGCATACCAGTGAGGTCATCTGTGGGCCAGGAGCCAAGCTCACAGGCTCGGCAAGTGTACTCATCAAACACGAACTCGTTCTCTTTGCAGGGAGTGCAGGTCCAACAGCAGCTCACCTCTCCTTTACGGATCACCTGGAGACACAGACACACCAGTATGAAAGACTGGAAAGGTCTCAATGCTCCAATGACAATTTCCTGTAGGTAATCTTACCCTCTGACTGCTCCACATGCTAAGAAAATGAGAATTTGTTCACCAGGGGAGCAAATGAAGAAGAAAAAAACGTCCAGAAGGTAATTGAGTCTCATTATTAACAAAAAAACTTTCCTCACCATAGCAACACGTATATGAAGAAGTGTAGCTGGAAAAGGAAAAGTGGAAGTGCGGAGGGTTAGTGGTTAGTGGTCTGGAGTTTTAATCAGAATTACTAACATTTTTGTGCGGAGTTTCCCATTTCCTTTGGTTCTGCCGCATCCTCTAATAGTGCGAAGGTAGGTTGCCTTTGTGGGTGGACATGATTGGGAATCTGTCTGTGTAGGTTCCCAGTCATCCAGGTCATGACAGTCTAAGGAAAGAAAACGACTGGACTTTCTCAAATTCTTTAAGGCGATTTACCTCTCATCCAGAAGAGCTTCTTCAGTTCTGAAACCAAATGGTGGAAAGTCCCAGGTATTTAAACCCTTGTGGCACCACTTTTAATCATGTGCCCCATCACATGAGCCAAGATGTGAAAAAAAGGCATGGGTCACTACCACAAGATCCGAGCGGGGGTTGAGGCCTCTGGGTAGGAATCTCAAGACTGCACTGTAGGTGGTGACAGTTTCTCTATTCATTAATGGTCGTTCACAGTGGACATACATGACCTCATTTACTCCTTTTACTCCCGGTCCAAAATATGAACCCTGGCATCCTCAAAAGAGTGACCTTTACCCTTTAGATGTACAGCTGAGTCTTGTCCTCTCTAGGTGACTGTTTGTTTTTTCCAATATAGAGGTAATTAACAGTCATTAACAAAAGCATAAACTTAAGAGCAAATCTGAAATGCTTGTGAGAGGTGATCATATTCTCGTTCTATTTCTTTCACTACATGTATTTTTCAGCCACTACAAGAAAACCTACAAACCTATAAAATGCCATATGTTGTCATAGCTCTACAACAATTTCCCCACAACAGTTGAGAAATGGTTTAAAATGTAAATAGTACAAATTTAGAAGAAAAAAAAAAGATTATGTCAGTTTCAGCGTTTTGATATGTTGTCTCAGTACAATTTTCAACTAAAGATGGGTTTGATTGTTTTGCATTGCACTTCGCTTTGCATTTCATTCAGCATTCCAACAGGCTGCTTCTGTAGCGGTGCACTGCTGCACATAAACAACAGGGTGTCAGAAGTAAAGAGGGATTCATATTAGAACTTAGGGAAAAATACTGGAGAGGGACACTTCAGTGTTCTTCGTGATTTGAATTAGCTGGAGGAAGCTTAAAAAGGTTCAGATGGGAGATGATAAAAGCTTGAACAAAGAGCTTTGCTGAATCCCTGGCAGAGTACTCGAGGATCTGACTGGACCAGTTTTAGAAATTGTGAACCTGTGGGATCAATTTAAGGCTGCTGTGTGGGTCGTGTTTTTCGAAAGGTTTCTTCATTATAACTGTCCCGAGTTCTCTGGTCTGTGGTTATATGTGGTCGTATGGCATCATGAATTATGAGTGGCATCAGAAAGAGAAAATGTTCATAATTCACCCTTTAGTTTGATGCACACATTAAAATCAAGTTATTTGCATTTTCTTTTGGTTTGATATATGATCTCGTCACGATTGTGTGTACAACTATTGCTACAAACTGTAAAAAAAAAAAAAAAAAAAAAAAAGCAAATACATTATAGATTAAAATTTTGAGTATTAAACCTTAGAGGCGTAACTCTGGCCCTTGAGTGCGCTGAACGGGTTCATACCTTAATCTGTGCCTTCTGGCAGGGCTCAGAGCAGACTGACTGGATGATTTCACTGTTGTTGCTCCAGATTTCTTCATCATTCATCTTTAGGCCACCCTGATCCCAGCTTCCCACATGGATGTAAGCGTATTCATCTTCACCTGTCTGCTTGAAGTTCATGATTTCATACCTGAGGCAAGCATGCAATATAAACACACATGAAACAGCAATTTATGCTTTTCCTGTCCCCTTTTTTCTGCCTTTGCCATCTCAGGCCTTACCTGCCGGGTGAGTCTCCGTTCTGGTCAAAGAGGATGGCCTCCCCAGATACACCAGTAAAGTTGGTTTTCATCAGGAAATCTAGCAGCTTGCGACCATCAATGGGACGCATGCTCTCACACAAACCCTGTGGAAGAGAAAGTGATGTCACTGCTGTCACAACTGATGTGAAAGCACTTAAATGTTTTCTGTCAGTCCTCATACCTTATATCCTGGACAAAGTGCTTGTTGCATGGCATGTAGGCCATAAGCCATAGAATAAATGGCATTTATGACAAAGCCCATCTTGGTGTCTTGGGCATATTGATGCCGCAGAGACTCTCTCCCTGTGGACAGAAAGGAGACAATAGAAAACCCTTGTAATGATAGTATTTTACTGATTCGTTAAAAGTGTCTAAGTAGGTGTTTTACTAACAAGTGCAAGTGCGGTTGTAAGCAGTGCTCTCCTGTGGATGTCCCTTCAACCTGCACTGGAAGCGGTGCTGCCAAAACTCGGGGAACCAGGGGTTCCTCAGGTTAGCGTCAGGCTTCAGGTTCAGGTAGTAATCATCAAACCAGGTCACATACGCCGACTTTAACTTTATAGTGATTCCCCCGGCTGCTTCCTTCTGGTAGCCATTAGTCACATCATACCTGTCAGCCCAGCCATCGCTGGACAGGAGGAAGGGAAAATTAGAAAAAAAGTACAACAGCTAGTTCAGGTAAGTACTGTTATTATTAGGATGTTATTCTTCTTATTTTTTTTAATTATTTGCTTCATTATTTATTTTTATTATTTATTCTTTTTATTTCATTTTTTGGCTTATAAATGTGAGTATAAAGTATATAAAAACATAGCTAGCGGGACAGCTAGTTCCCAGAAAGCATTCAACAGGTGTAGTGCACACAGCAAGATTTGCTAAAAACTTTTAAGCACAGCTGGAAAACTTAACACTTTACACCAGAGAAACAAATTGAAAAGGGCTACACTGCAAACTGTAAAAGAGACATCTCTTTAAAGCACCATTCAGGACTATCAGATAAGAATTAGTACAGCGAACCTGGAAATCGAGTGTGAATGTCAGCGATATAGAACCCCGGTGCTTTTCTGCCAAGTAATGCTTTTCAACCCCTACCGACCTATAAATATATATGGATTTTTATATGGATTTTTCAAAAGCTGCCCAAGGGCAAGTGGCATCTTATTTCACAGGTAACAAATATTTTCCAATTTTCAGCAAAACTGACAAATACAATCATCACACCAGGAATCAAGAAAGTTATGAAATTGATTTTTAGATTTCTGAGACTGTCACAGCTGAAGGAAATTATCTGCGAAGCCCACAAACAAGAAGCGTGATCATATTTTAGTTCTGTTATTAATATATTTTCCTAAACTTGTTCTATAGATTCACACTCCTTCCGAGTTTGCCTCAAAAATAAATCTGGGTCAGTGTTGCGATAAGCATTCATATGTTTTCCTATGAGCGCTTGCATCTATGCTTTTAACATGATCAGATCGTGTTGCCATGGCAACTATGCAGTGTTGAACTGCTTCCCCCTCCTCACTGCTTGCAGATATCTTGTGGTGGATTTAGAAAGTAAAATAACACTGAATTCACGATGGATTTTTTTTTTTTTTGCTGAAAAGCTGTTGTGTTGATAATAATTTATTGGCACACAATTGCTCAGACTGGAAGAGACCAGAGGTGTCTTCATAAATGAATGACTGAAATGAGAATAACATTTACAATGATGACTCCGATAAGCCAACACAAGACTTACAAAGTTATAAAAAATAAAGCATTTTTTTAAGCATTTGTTTTGTTTTTTTTATTTCCCTATTTTATTCTTTAATTAATTTCTCGGATTTTAACAACTTGCATCTCTGCACCAATCTGTTACTATTCATTTAAATCTAACTGTCAAGGTTCATAATATATTGGAACTCAAAATTATGACATAAAATATTTATTTTTGTTTGGCGAAGGACCTTAAAGGTCCTTTTTCTTAAAAAAAAAAAAAATCCACCGGTGAATAAACTCCAAACAAACATCAGCAGACTGCAGTGTCTGCACATCTGATGTGGTGTTTTTTGAAAAACACAGAGGTCTTGGAGTCAGTAAGCTATATCTATCAGTGAACTGCTTGAAAAGATTTCTACTCCCATCTATTATTATCTCTCCCTCTGGATACTTGTCTACAGTCAGAAAAAAGGCAAAAAAAAAAGAAGGGTGATTACACATCCACGCATGTGCATACATGTAAAAATGCACACTTCACTGACACAAACAATTGCACCCTTCTAACTGAAAAAAAGAAGTCATTTTTGAAAACTTCGCTAACCGAGCTGGAGTTACACAACAGTAGTGTGGGTGGATTTTTTTTTTTTTTTATGAGAGTGAGGTAGGAGATCATTTCATAACTCATCCTTAGAGAAGCAAGTACAGAAATGGTACACTGGCATGAAAAAGGCAGAAATGGATATGAAAAGCATGGAGGGCTTGGACTCCGGATAGTTTGAATCACACTTGAACGAGAGCTCTAAAACCCACACATCGACCTTGGAGGGCAATATGCTGTATGCAGCATGTTGCTACACCACCTACAGCCTGAAGACTCACATAAACGTGCAAGGATGTGCATCCACAGACACACACACACAGAGATACGTGTGAACACACATCGTTTTCTTATTTCACTTTAAAATACATGTATGAGAAGATTTTTATGAGTAAATACTTTAGAACTCCTCACTTCTATAAAACAAACTTGAGGCCACAAACGTTCCCATATCTAAAATCTGAAAATTTAACAAAACACACATACAAAAAATAAATAAAATAAAAAATCCAAACCAGCTGTATGACCAAAAGAAGAAAAAAAACACTCCCACAAACAACCGGTCCAATGCATCACACCAATTTGCAGGTGAGAAGCCAGTCGGGGATCGTGTTGCTCTGCTAACACTAAAAACTCTAAGTGATTAGTTGGAGCGCTTTGTAAAGGAACTGATGGAGCGTGTGTGTCATGAGTGGGCAAGGAGGAATATGCAGACAAAACAAAATAAATGAAAAATAACCTTTTATTTGGTTCAAAGACTAAAAATGTCCCAAACTGGAAAATCCAAACTCAGGCATAAGCATGTGGCACACGAGGGACCAAACACAGAATCACAAACAGAGAGAAAGACTCGACAAAAAGATCCAAGAAACTAGAAGGGGAGACAAAGTAAACCAAACACAAATAATCAAATATTAATAACACAAAATCTAAATCCTCAAAGCATAAATAGTCACAACATGATTACTAATCAAACCACAAAACTTTAAACTGAAGCTAAACCAGAGGGTATATAAAGTAACATTTGAAATGGCAAAAACCACAGGCCAGAATCAGATCAACTCTGTAAAATGTAAAAGCTAATCTATCTAAATGAAGAGCAAGACACAGGTCAACCTCAAACAGTGGCCATTAACTTAGTAAATTATTTTGAAATTCATCCCAAGGTTGCAGAACTCGGTACACCCAGTCCAACATAGTTGACATTCCCACTTCTAGAGCAATAATGTGACTAAAAATAGAGAGTGTACTTATATAACCTTTTGCCTTTATATACAAGGTTTTTGTGTGATACATTTTCATTTATCCATAGATATCTATCTACATGAGCTCAGTTTTGGCTGCTGATCAGATGCAGCTGTATAAAACAGGCTTAAGTACCTCAATTTAAAAAGCATCCAGTCTAGGCATGTACTGTAAGGTGACAGATCTTTCAAGCTAAGATGAAAATGATCGTTTGTGGAGGCAGCTAACAAAAAAATGCAAGAAAAATGATGATGATGATGTTAAATACACATCACTGAAGGACAGAACTCATAAAACGCGTGCTCATTAATGCTTGCATGAATGCATCAAAAGCAACTGGAGACAAATCTGACACCTCCGCAGTACGTTTCGAATCTAATCACTCTCATAATGAGGGACATCTTAACAAATTAACCACAAGTTTTAATAATGAGCACATTTCAATAGCACGGCTACCTGAAAGCTCTGTATGGATAACATAGATGGTAGAACACAGTGTTTTGCAATATGTAGTTCAAGGTTATTTTATGTTTCCTGCTGTCAGATTTGAGCGACAGCCTACATATGTGGCTCCTAATGAGGAAAGGCATTTATAGACCACCAGGGACGAGAGCGAGCCAGAGAGCTAAACCTTAAAATAAAACATGTTATTCTCGGAGAGAGTGAAACCTCCTGCTAAATCAACCACCTCTTTCTGCTTGTTTTCTCCCCTTGTGTATCTAATTGAATGCTTTCCTCCCTGCTCGGTTTTCACAATCTTTGACAGTTTCTTCATTTAACGTATCGTTAGAATGATCCATGCATTAAACATAGGCCAAATCAAGAGCAGATTTGATGTGGTAGGGTGCGAGATCTCTCATAATGATGACTATATTTTAACATACTGGACATCAGGAAAACAATGCTGTATCTAATGATTAGTCGACTCAGATTTTCTTATAAAAGGGAAACAGAGTAACTGGAATACGTTGGTCTGGCTCTATTTACTGTTGTGACAGCTATAATAATAATAATAATAATAATAATAATAATAATAATAATAATAATAATAATAATAATAATAACAACAACAACAATAAGAAGAAGAAGAAGAAGAATGTATGGCTCTGTTACCTTTTTCTCTATATGGATCATTTGGCTGCAGTAGTAGTAGTAATTAAAATTCAATAAATGTTAATATATTCACAACTGAACTAAAAATGTGCAAAAAAAGATGTAAAGGAAAAATACCTTTGGTTCCCTTAGTTATTCATGATGTTGATGGATGCAATGAAAACACTGATGATAACAAGGATAATGATGATGTTGTTGATGATGACAGGAAGACAACAAATCAACAATCTTCTCCTGATGGTGGATATAAGAAAAACAAATCTGAATTGGAAAGTAGCACATGATACCAAGAGGATTTAACAGCTTCTGATAAAAGCAAAAACTCCAACAATTAAGAAATGCAGTCTAAAGAATCCTACATGCCAGAAGTCGTCACTCACCTTCCGACGAGGACGAACTCTCCCACTAGGCGTTGTCGTCTCATGGCCATCAGTATCCCTCGGACTGTCATGCCCTCACAGAAGCAAGCCACAACCCTGGCTTTGGGTAGATGGCCTCTGAGTTTCTGCAAAAGCTTGTCAAAGTTTTGCTCCCCTGCGTTGCTGTATATCTTGTCAGAGTGGGCAATGCAGATCCCTTCTTTTGCTGCCATGTCTTTAAATGCCTCCATACCGCTCTCACCATAATTACCTGTGGAGGTAACCACATGAATGCAATGGTGTTCGTAAAAACATAAAAGCTGGGGGTCTGTTAAATAGTTGTTGCTAACTTCTTCTTCTTTTGACTGCTTCTTATCCCAAGCATCCTCCTCTGACACAACAACTCTTTGAACATCCTCCTGCAATACATGCGTAAGTCTTCATCGTCACATTACCCCAGTTCTTGAAAATTGCTACCAGTACACTTCTTCTCCATTCCTGAGGCATTCTACAGGATTGTGTTTAAAAATCTGGCCAAAAAGTCCACTGTCATCTCTCTTAGACATCTCCACACCTCCAAAATGGTGCCATCAGGCCCAGCATTTTTTCCATTCTTCATCCTCTTCATAACTGCAGTCACTTTTTTCTTACTAATCTTCTGCGCTTCCTGCTTCACTGACTATCTTCCATCTGTCCTCCTCCCTGTGACATTTTATTCATCAGCTTTAAAAGTACTCCCACCATCTTCTCAGCAGACTCTCTTCACATGTTAGTACATTTCCATCTCTGTCCTTCATCCTCCGAACCTGCTGCACATCCTTTCCAGCTTGTGTATCATTCTCATCTAAATTTCAAATTTATCTCTGACTTTTCCAACAATTTTGTTCACATTACTGAACAACAATTGCTTCAGCATCTTCATTGTGATGTTTCTAACACATTTACTGCTTAGTCCAATTGATTTTAGTGTGCTGACACAGATACAGATGAATGTATGAACACTTGCGTAATGCCAGCGCAGCACTTGGGAATCTGGTACATTTTCCCCCCAATTACAGGAATTGTCAGGGGTTAAACTTCCCTGTTTTTGCTAGAAATCAGGTCACCTACTTTCTCATGCTTCGCGAGGATGCTCTCCCTCACTATTTGAAATATTTTTTTTCTATCACTACACGTGAGTAACGTTGCTTGCGTTCTTGAGTGTCAGCAGCAACAGTTTTAAATTGATTTTCTGTGCTTTAGAAATGATGAAATTCTCTGCCATTCATATTAGTGATGCTGTATTTTATATACACTAAAATTGCTTTATACTCTTTAATGTTTCTCTGTGTTTGTTCTAACTTTCCAAGAAACTGGTTAACCTTCCATGAGTCTGAGAGTCTAACTTTTAAAAGACTAATAATCAAAGCTCACTCCATTTCACAGATATTTAAAAGTAAAGACAACCAAGGATGAATATTATTTTTATATATATATATATATATATATATACAAATTAACCACAAGTTTTAATAATGAGCACAT